CTTTAAATGTTTTTTCTACATACTTCTAGGTAGCAGGGGCTTGTGAATGGTGCGATGCTGGGGTGCATACAGTGTCCCACAGAAGCACGGGGGGCTCCTCAGTGTGCTCCCCAGCAGACCGAGAAGTGGACTGGAAGTACTTTCAGTCTACTCCCAGGTTCACTGCCGAGCACATGAAGGGGCCCCCCAGCACTCCTGTGAGACGCTCCATCCACCTCAGTATTGCAGTGTTCACAAGCTGTGCCTGCTACCTCAAGGTATGTAGAAAAACTTCTTAAAGCTGTGTCTATGTGAATCACTGATTCTCCAAATCAGCATTGAATCTTCAGGCTCGGATTTGGCCAAATCGAATCAGGGACAGTTATCTGAATCAACAAATTGAATCACTATCCGTGATTTGGGCCAAATCTGAATTGAATAGGGCCTGCTTTGCACACCCCTAGTGAACGTTTTTCCATATCTTTTTGCTGATTATGAGTTTTCTTGTTATTTGAGGAGTAGTTTCTAACTTTTCTCTATATTTCTGTTTCAGCCACCTGAGGGCATGATGGAGAGAACAGAAAGAGAAAGACTAGGCATACCCAAGAGCAGGTCTCGCAAGAAAATGGGAGAAACGATGGAGCCAAAGAGAGGGAAAGAAGAAGAAAACCCACAGGCCTCTGGTGGAAAACACAGTTAATGGTCCCCATCACATGCAAGCATTCAGAAGGGCTGTTCTGCCTAAATGGTTACAGTGCATTGGAGTTACTACCTTTTTCATTCTAACTGAAAAGCTTTTGCCATTTTTTTTACTAGAAAGAAGCTAGTTAGTTAAAGCAGACCCTAAATTTTAAAATAAAATTAACATGATGGAACCACTGAAGTTCTGTTTCTACTGTCTTGCCTTTACATTCACCATTAAAAGTGTGATGCATGTTTCAGGGAGAGTTTGCGAATATATGGATTAAGACCTAAGTGAGCACTGTATGATTTCAGTCAGTTCCAGCATGGCAGCAGGATGGCAGTACACAAGCTCATTTGGGAGGAGAATACACGTAGGTTGTGGGCTGTGCTACACCCCATATCTATTCAGTGTTATTAAGTGGATATTTTCTTTCTTTAAGAATTCTTTCTCTACAATTTATTGAAGCAACAAAATCAAAGGAAGTTAGAGTTTTAACTGAGTACACCAATTGCTTTCTCTAAATCCAGGCCTCGTTGATCTGCCATACTACCCCACCTCTTAGTCTCCCTCAGCATTATCCTCTACCTCCCCTCTTCTCTGTCATCTCACATCTCAACCCTTCTGTTCTGACATTCCTCTGACTGCTACCCTCACTGACCACTTCAGTTGTTCCCTCAATGGTTCTC